ACTCAAACAATACCTACCTACCACTGAATACTCAAACAATACCTACCTACCACTGAATACTCAAACAATACCTACCTACCACTGAATACTCAAACAATACCTACCTACCACTGAATACTCAAACAATACCTACCTACCACTGAATACTCAAACAATACCTACCTACCACTGAATACTCAAACAACACCTACCTACCACTGAATACCCAAACAATACCTACCTTCCACTGAATACCCAAACAATACATAAACAATACCTACCTACCACTGAATACTCAAACAATACCTACTTACCACTGAATACCCAAACAATACCTACCTACCACTGAATACCCAAACAATACATAAACAATACCTACCTACCACTGAATACCCAAACAATACCTACCTACCACTGAATACCCAAACAATACCTACCTACCACTGAATACTCAAACTATATCTACCTACCACTGAATACCCAAACAATACCTACCTACCACTGAATACTCAAACAATACCTACCTACCACTGAATACCCAAACAATACCTACCTACCACTGAATACCCAAACTATACCTACCTACCACTGAATACCCAAACAATACCTACCTACCACTGAATACTCAAACAATACCTACCTACCACTGAATACCCAAACAATACCTACCTACCACTGAATACCCAAACAATACCTACCTACCACTGAATACCCAAACAATACCTACCTACCACTGAATACCCAAACTATATCTAAACAATACCTACCTACCACTGAATACCCAAACAATACCTACCTACCACTGAATACCCAAACTATATCTAAACAATACCTACCTACCACTGAATACTCAAACAATACCTACCTACCACTGAATACTCAAACAATACCTACCTACCACTGAATACTCAAACAATACCTACCTACCACTGAATACTCAAACAATACCTACCTACCACTGAATACTCAAACAATACCTACCTACCACTGAATACTCAAACAATACCTACCTACCACTGAATACTCAAACAATACCTACCTACCACTGAATACTCAAACAATACCTACCTACCACTGAATACTCAAACAACACCTACCTACCACTGAATACCCAAACAATACCTACCTACCACTGAATACCCAAACAATACATAAACAATACCTACCTACCACTGAATACTCAAACAATACCTACTTACCACTGAATACCCAAACAATACCTACCTACCACTGAATACCCAAACAATACATAAACAATACCTACCTACCACTGAATACCCAAACAATACCTACCTACCACTGAATACCCAAACAATACATAAACAATACCTACCTACCACTGAATACTCAAACAATACCTACCTACCACTGAATACCCAAACAATACCTACTTACCACTGAATACCCAAACAATACCTACCTACCACTGAATACCCAAACAATACCTACCTACCACTGAATACCCAAACAATACCTACCTACCACTGAATACCCAAACAATACCTACCTACCACTGAATACCCAAACAATACCTACCTACCACTGAATACTCAAACAATACCTACCTACCACTGAATACTCAAACAATACCTACCTACCACTGAATACCCAAACAATACCTACCTACCACTGAATACCCAAACAATACCTACCTACCACTGAATACCCAAACAATACCTAAACAAAATCTACCTAATATCTACACTACACCTAAACACTACAAAACAAAAACTAAACAAAACACTACCTAAACAAATAAGATAATATCAAAATAAAACAATATCTTAACAATACCAATCTATATCCTAAACAATATCACAATACCAAAACAATATCTTAACAATACCAATCTATATCCTAAACAATATCACAATACCAAAACAATATCTTAACAATAATGAAAATATCTAACAACACCAAACAGTATGTCACAATATCTAACAATACCAAACAGTACGTCACAATATCTAACAACACCAAACAGTACGTCACAATATCTAACAATACCAAACAGTACGTCACAATATCTAACAACACCAAACAGTACGTCACAATATCTAACAATACCAGACAGTATGTCACAATATCTAACAATACCAGACAGTACGTCACAATATCTAACAACATCAGACAGTACGTCACAATATCTAACAATACCAGACAGTACGTCACAATATCTAACAACACCAAACAGTACGTCACAATATCTAACAATACCAGACAATACGTCACAAGATCTAACAATACCAGACAGTACGTCACAATATCTAACAATACCAGACAGTACGTCACAATATCTAACAATACCAGACAGTACGTCACAATATCTAACAATACCAGACAGTACGTCACAATATCTAACAATACCAAACAGTACGTCACAATATCTAACAATACCAGACAGTACGTCACAATATCTAACAATACCAGACAGTACGTCACAATATCTAACAATACCAGACAGTACGTCACAATATCTAACAATACCAGACAGTAGGTCACAATATCTAACAATACCAGATAGTATGTCACAATATCTAACAATACCAGACAGTAGGTCACAATATCTAACAATACCAGACAGTATGTCACAATATCTAACAATACCAGACAGCATGTCACAATATCTAACAATACCAGACAGTAGGTCACAATATCTAACAATACCAGACAGTATGTCACAATATCTAACAATATCAGACAGTATGTCACAATAACTAACAATATCAGACAGTATGTCGCAATATTTAACAATACCAGACAGTATGTCACAATATCTAACAATACCAGACAGCATGTCACAATATCTAACAATACCAGACAGTAGGTCACAATATCTAACAATACCAGACAGTACGTCACAATAACTAACAATACCAGACAGTATGTCACAATATCTAACAATACCAGACAGTAGATCACAATATCTAACAATACCAGATAGTATGTCACAATATCTAACAATACCAGACAGTAGATCACAATATCTAACAATACCAGACAGTAGATCACAATATCTAACAATACCAGACAGTATGTCACAATATCGAACAATACCAGACAGTATGTCACAATATCTTCAATTCAAATTTTTTTTTATTATTGACTTCATTGTTTTATGTTCATAATATCTATAAGATAAGACATGTTTCAATTTCTTGAAATAAATCTATCATTGAGTTTACAAACAGGCTGACTCTTTCAAGCTGACATCCAAAATAACCAATGAAAGAAGATTATTTGAACTGATCCATCCAATGACTTTTGTTAGCTTCTGAAATACATATATTGACATAAAGTACCCGGAGGTGATACCAAATTGGCTGACAAAGCAGTTGCACTTTAAACAAATGACCCCAAGAAATGTACACCAAAGAGAGTCAACAAGGCCTAATGAAATCTGAGAATTAGTGATAAAACTCCTTAAGTATCAAATTTCAAAATAGCCACCTGTCAACCATTTTGTTTTCCTGATCATTCCCAAAATTATTTACTAAGACCATGTGATACCTACTAACAATATGGTCCGTCCAGTATTTTTCAGAAAAACTAGACCAATGTTGAGGAAGGGCTCCACCTAAACGCTATCACACCGAAGGTTACACACACCAGTGCAGCATGAAAAGTAGCACTGCATGGTCCTAGTCCAATCCGACAACAAATACACAAGTTATTGTGCAGAAATCAAAAACGGACACACAGATGGATAACAGACTTCCAAAAATAAAAGTCTAGTTGAAAGGTAATTCATAAGCCCACCATCAATTTGAATGGAAAATGCTGTACTTTTAGACTTTTAAACTTTAAAGAGGCTATTCATAATGCATGCTACTCCAAAGACTCAACAGTGACAACACATTATCCATGTAAGTCACTGTTGGTAAAACATAAATTGTGTTACTTTTACTTTAAGACCTGAAGACATTAGTAATTATCAACTTCTTTCACCATGTTGATAGATTTCTGTGTCACTTTTTTATACATATATTTTCTGAAAAGATGAACAGTCAAAAAACAAAAAGTCATGAGGATTTGTGTTTCTCAGGATGCTGAATGAGAAACAAAGCAAAGATGGAGGGAGGGGTGGAGGAGTGGAGGAGGAGTGGAGGAGGATTGGGGGAGGAGTGGGGGAGGGGTGGAGGAGGAGTGGGGAAGATGGGGGAGGAGTGGGGAAGGGGTGGAGGAGGGGTGGAGGAGTGGTGGAAGATGGAGGGGTGGAGGAGGAGTGGAGGAGGAGTGGAGGAGGGGTGGAGGAGGGGTGGAGGAGTGGAGGAGGAGTGGAGGAGGAGTGGGGGAGGAGTGGAGGAGGAGTGGAGGAGGGGTGGAGGAGGGGTGGAGGAGGAGTGGGGGAGGAAGAGTGGGGGAGGAGGAGTGGAGGAGGAGTGGGGGAAGATGGGGGGAGGGGTGGAGGAGGGGTGGAGGAGGAGTGGAGGAGGAGTGGAGGAGGAGTGGGGGAAGATTGGGGGAGGAGTGGGGGAGGGGTGGAGGAGGGGTGGAGGAGTGGGGGAAGATGGGGGGAGAAGTGGAGAACACGAGGCTGAACTCGGGAGGAGTGGGGGAGGAATGGAGGAGGAGTGGAGGAGGAGTGGAGGAGGGGTGGAGGAGGGGTGGAGGAGGGGTGGAGGAGGGGTGGAGGAGGAGTGGGGGAGGAGGAGTGGAGGAGGAGTGGGGAAGATGGGGGGAGGGGTGGAGGAGGGGTGGAGGAGGAGTGGAGGAGGAGAGGAGGAGGAGGGAGGAGGAGTGGAGGAGAAGTGGAGGAGGAGTGGGGGAGGAGTGGAGGAGGAGAAGTCCAGCATACAAACAAGCATAATTTTCTGTAAAGTTCCCTTAACTACTGTTTTAAGAATCACCAGTTTGTATGTGAGCAGGATTTTAGGAATTATATTCTTTTTATGGAATATATGTGGAGATATAATATTGAAGTGTAAACATTTATCTAAAAGTATCAGTAGAATATTCAGTGTGACTGTCGATACCTTGTCATTAAAACTTAACGTTGTTTTCTTGTCATTAAAACTCACCTTTGATGTTGATTCTGTTTGGTGTTGGTAAAAGTGGCCAGGCCAGTAAAAACACCAGATATATAAAGGAAAGTGCATTGTACCTCACCGCACAGGCTGTAACACATCAAGGTCAAACATTAGAGGTCATACACTGTAACACATCAAGGTCAAACATTAGAGGTCATACGCTGTAACACATCAAGGTCAAACATTAGAGGTCATATGCTGTAACACATCAAGGTCAAACATTAGAGGTCATACGCTGTAACACATCAAGGTCAAACATTAGAGGTCATACGCTGTAACACATCAAGGTCAAACATTAGAGGTCATACACTGTAACACATCAAGGTCAAACATTAGAGGTCATACACTGTAACACATCAAGGTCAAACATTAGAGGTCATACACTGTAACACATCAAGGTCAAACATTAAGGGTCATACACTGTAACACATCAAGGTCAAACATTAGAGGTCATACACTGTAACACATCAAGGTCAAACATTTGAGGTCATACACTGTAACACATCAAGGTAAAATATTAGAGGTCATACACTGTAACACATCAAGGTCAAACATTAGAGGTCATACACTGTAACACATCAAGGTCAAACATTAGAGGTCATACACTGAAACACATCAAGGTCTAACATTAGAGGTCATACACTGTAACACATCAAGGTCAAACATTAGAGGTTATACACTGTAACACATCAAGGTCAAACATTAGAGGTTATACACTGTAACACATTACGGGCAATGATAAGAGGCCAGACAAGTACTCTGTAACACATCACCAAGGTCAATAATTAGAGGTCACAAAGCAACACATCAATAAAACAGAGGTCACACACAAACACATAACTAGAGGTCACACACTGTAACAAATCAAGGTCAAAAATTAGAGTTCATACACTTTAACACAAACTTTGGGCCAGGTGACCTAAAAATTAGAGGTCACACACATTAACATATCTAGGTCAAAAATTACAGATCAAACACTGTAACATATCAAGGTCATCAACTAGTCATCAACACAAGGGTTAAGATTAGTATAAATGTCATATAGTGCATTAATTCAAAGCCAGTTCTTATGTAACACCTATCCATCTTAAGGTCAATTTAATCAAGACCAATTAAGAGGTCAAACATATTGACAAACTGGGTCAATAAAGAGGTCAAACATGTTGACAAACTGGGTCAATTATGAGGTATTTTGATGTTACAAAGCTAAATCAGATTAATGATCGTCTACTCAGTTTTATAATAATCAAACAGTCATCTGCTCAGCATTATCATAATCTCATAAACAATGTTTATTTCATGGTGAGTAGTAAACAACACCTTTATAAATTATATCTGATTTATTTGTGCAATTCTTAATGGTATTAAGAGCACTATAATCTCTTCATTCTCAGTCAGAAACATAAGCTTTCCTTACTAACTGACAACAGAAACAACCATGCACAGCAGCATGTAATACCTTATTTCCAAACGTCGGTTTTTTCTCTTTTTTTAAAATTATTTTTGTTTTAGTTTTCAGTATTTCTGTATTTTTTTCCCCAAATCCCCAGCAGGAGCTTATAGTTGATAAAATATGGTATTTATACTTGACATTACCTGCCAGTAGAATGATGGGCAGAAGTACCCTAAATAAAGGGTAGCACACCCACTTAGACACCTGGGTTGTCATGGCTACTGTCGTACTACAATAATCCAAGCATTAGGGGTAATCCATGTCTGACATAGAACGTCAAGTGAAAGGTACATCTGGAAAATAAACACACCTGTAATTAATATCAGACTCATACATACACAAATAATACCAAAACAACAATCATTATCTGAACAATGTGTACATATCAAGTGAAATCTTTAAAAAACATGAATAATAAATTATATCCATGTTAATTGTTTAAAAAAATATTCTAATTCTCAGGGATATGGTGTCTTTTATAGCCACTTAATCATACTGCTCTGTTTGTCGTCTATAAAGATACAAGCAAGTTGTTAAAATCAAAATAATGACTGAATGAATTAACAGGTTGTGTATCGTTTATATGTCGCCTCAATCATCAGAGGTTTAATAATACAAACCACTGCAGCGTGACAATACCTGACTGCTGAACACAGACAAATAAATATACATGTAGTGCCAACAGATGGTGAGCGACCTTTGACCTTTTAGCAAATCTCTATTCATTTTTATCTTAATTTCCATCAACAGGCAGCAAAAATCAAAGGCCTATCATCTTTACCATGTTGTTTGATATGGTTCTACAAATCATTTTTGCTAGTTTGTCCAATAGAATTTGCTATGCTTCCATATACCTGTCAACCCTCCCATTTTTAGTGGGTCTCACTCTAACATTCACTCCAAAATCTTATACTGGGATTTTGGTGCATTGCCTGCAGTGGTACACCTTTAATACCATATTTCATCACAAATAAGCCCATGCATTTGATTATTTGATATTCTGTATGTAGAATTGAAAATAAAAGTGCATTAGTCTTTTCATTGTCTTATAATAAGCCCATACCATCCGACACCCTCAAACCAGGAGTCAGATCTGTTGAGCCCGTGGCCCATCCGACACCCTCAAACCAGGAGTCAGATCTGTTGAGCCCGTGGCCCATCCGACACCCTCAAACCAGGAGTCAGATCTGTTGAGCCCGTGGCCCATCCGACACCCTCAAACCAGGAGTCAGATCTGTTGAGCCCATGGCCCATCCGACACCCTCAAACCAGGAGTCAGATCTGTTAAGCCCTTGGCCCATCCGACACCCTCAAACCAGGAATCAGATCTGTTGAGCCCGTGGTCCATCCGACACCCTCAAACCAGGAGTCAGATCTGTTAAGCCCTTGGCCCATGGTCTTATGGAATATATAGATAGTATACAGCGACAGCATTAACTGAGATTTTTCTTTATTTTAAGAAAATGAACCTTAATTTGTACCACACAGTTACTCATCCATGATTTCAAACTTGAAAAGCTGGTATAGACATGCATTTAAATACAATTAAACTAAACAGGAATTACTTAACACAAGGGAGAAGTAGAAGTGAACTTAAATTGTATATTTGTCTAAATTTAAACCCCAAAGTCTAACCAGCAGGAAGAGCTAGTTCTTTCATTATCTTTCTTGTCAATGAGCCCCAGTAATGACCCATTAAAACTGAACCATTATATTTGACAAAGAGTCATGAATATATTTTCTTTTTTTTTACTACAGATATTGACTTAACTATGGGTTTTTTTTAAACTTGGAACATGCAGTATAATGTACTTTTGATAGATTCATGGTTTGTTTTTGGGTTTTTTTGGAGGGAGGGGGGTATTTTGGAATTCGCTGCTTCATTTAAAAGGTAAAGATAAGCCTAACAACATGGCAAAATATTATTTCCTAAAAAAATTTTAAAAATTACACACTCTGACACATTTCATGTCAGCAATCTGTGTCCTATAGACCCTGAAATTATTCATCATTATGTTTATACAAAAACTGACAGAGACAAAACAGAAATTCTACACACTGCACAGCAAAAGGTTTTCAGTAAACCCACTTGTTACTTGTAACTCAACAGTGAATCACAGCCCTTCACACTCAACAGTGAATCACAGCCCTTCACACTCAACAGTGGATCACAGCCCTTCACACTCAACAGTGAATCACAGCCCTTCACACTCAACAGTGGATTACAGCCCTTCACACTCAACAGTGCATCACAGCCCTTCACACTCAACAGTGCATCACAGCCCTTCACACTCACAGCCCTTCACACTCAACAGTGAATCACAGCCCTTCACACTCACAGCCCTTCACACTCAACAGTGGATCACAGCCCTTCACACTCACAGCCCTTCACACTCAACAGTGAATCACAGCCATTCACACTCAATAGTGAATCACAGCCCTTCACACTCAACAATGGATCACAGCCCTTCTCACTTAACAGTGAATCACAGCCCTTCACACTCACAGCCCTTCACACTCAACAGTGGATCACAGCCCTTCACACTCACAGCCCTTCACACGCAACAGTGGATCACAGCCCTTCACACTCAACAGTGGATCACAGCCCTTCACACTCACAGCCCTTCACACTCAACAGTGAATCACAGCCCTTCACACTCAACAGTGAATCACAGCCCTTCACACTCAACAGTGAATCACAGCCCTTCACACTCAACAGTGGATCACAGCCCTTCACACTCAACAGTGAATCACAGCCCTTCACACTCACAGCCCTTCACACTCAACAGTGAATCACAGCCCTTCACACTCAACAGTGTATCACAGCCCTTCACACTCAACAGTGAATCACAGCCCTTCACACTCATCAGTGAATCACAGCCCTTCACACTCACAGCCCTTCACACTCAACAGTGGATCATAGCCCTTCACACTCAACAGTGGATCACAGCCCTTCACACTCACAGCCCTTCACACTCAACAGTGAATCACAGCCCTTCACACTCAACAGTGGATCACAGCCCTTCACACTCAACAGTGAATCACAGCCCTTCACACTCAACAGTGGATCACAGCCCTTCACACTCAACAGTGGATCATAGCCCTTCACACTCACAGCCCTTCACACTCAACAGTGGATCACAGCCCTTCACACTCAACAGTGAATCACAGCCCTTCACACTCAACAGTGAATCACAGCCCTTCACACTCAACAGTGGATCACAGCCCTTCACACTCAACAGTGAATCACAGCCCTTCACACTCAACAGTGAATCACAGCCCTTCACACTCACAGCCCTTCACACTCAACAGTGGATCACAGCCCTTCACACTCACAGTGAATCACAGCCCTTCACACTCAACAGTGAATCACAGCCCTTCACACTCAACAGTGGATCACAGCCCTTCACACTCAACAGTGGATCACAGCCCTTCACACTCCCAGCCCTTCACACTCAACAGTGAATCACAGCCCTTCACACTCAACAGTGAATCACAGCCCTTCACACTCCCAGCCCTTCACACTCAACAGTGAATCACAGCCCTTCACACTCAACAGTGAATCACAGCCCTTCACACTCAACAGTGTATCACAGCCCTTCACACTCAACAGTGAACCACAGCCCTTCACACTCACAGCCCTTCACACTCAACAGTGGATCACAGCCCTTCACACTCACAGCTCTTCACACTCAACAGTGAATCACAGCCCTTCACACTCAACAGTGAATCACAGCCCTTCACACTCCCAGCCCTTCACACTCAACAGTGAATCACAGCCCTTCACACTCAAGTGAATCACAGCCCTTCACACTCCCAGCCCTTCACACTCAACAGTGAATCACAGCCCTTCACACTCAACAGTGAATCACAGCCCTCCACACTCAACAGTGTATCACAGCCCTTCACACTCAACAGTGAATCACAGCCCTTCACACTCACAGCCCTTCACACTCAACAGTGGATCACAGCCCTTCACACTCACAGCTCTTCACACTCAACAGTGCATCACAGCCCTTCACACTCAACAGTGAATCACAGCCCTTCACACTCAACAGTGAATCACAGCCCTTCACACTCACAGCCCTTCACACTCAACAGTGGATCAAAGCCCTTCACACTCAACAGTGAATCACAGCCCTTCACACTCACAGCCCTTCACACTCAACAGTGGATCACAGCCCTTCACACTCACAGTGAATCACAGCCCTTCACACTCAACAGTGAATCACAGCCCTTCACACTCAACAGTGGATCACAGCCCTTCACACTCAACAGTGGATCACAGCCCTTCACACTCCCAGCCCTTCACACTCAACAGTGAATCACAGCCCTTCACACTCAACAGTGAATCACAGCCCTTCACACTCCCAGCCCTTCACACTCAACAGTGAATCACAGCCCTTCACACTCAACAGTGAATCACAGCCCTTCTTACTCAACAGTGTATCACAGCCCTTCACACTCAACAGTGAATCACAGCCCTTCACACTCACAGCCCTTCACACTCAACAGTGGATCACAGCCCTTCACACTCACAGCTCTTCACACTCAACAGTGAATCACAGCCCTTCACACTCAACAGTGAATCACAGCCCTTCACACTCCCAGCCCTTCACACTCAACAGTGAATCACAGCCCTTCACACTCAAGTGAATCACAGCCCTTCACACTCCCAGCCCTTCACACTCAACAGTGAATCACAGCCCTTCACACTCAACAGTGAATCACAGCCCTCCACACTCAACAGTGTATCACAGCCCTTCACACTCAACAGTGAATCACAGCCCTTCACACTCAACAGTGGATCACAGCCCTTCACACTCAACAGTGAATCACAGCCCTTCACACTCAACAGTGGATCACAGCCCTTCACACTCAACAGTGGATCACAGCCCTTCACACTCACAGCTCTTCACACTCAACAGTGAATCACAGCCCTTCACACTCAACAGTGGATCACAGCCCTTCACACTCACAGCTCTTCACACTCAACAGTGAATCACAGCCCTTCACACTCAACAACTCCAGCATTTTCAAGATTGAAACAGGACAAAATTACAATGATTAGAGTTTTGTTTTCCTGTAAACATCACCCTATGTCTGGTAATAAGCCCACCCAAATTGATCATTTTCCCTCAAAATATATTTCTTATATCATAACTAATCCTTCCCGTTTTGTTTCCTATTTTTGGATTGCTGGGTATAACATAGAT